CATTTCATTTCGAAGTCGGGGACAATTCCGCAACGTAGCATGCTCCGTTCAGGCAATTTACTGCAATATCTCGTATATTATCCGGATAATTGTTCCCTGAACACATGTGTATGATATAATACAACCGATTTAAGCATGAGGACCTAGTGGGAATTAATCATACAGTTTTTCCCATTACTTTCATACGAAGGCCGATTTAACCGTTCCGCACTACACAGACCAAAGAAAACAATAATCTACCCAAAACCCTGGTAATCAGTGGTTACTCTAGGACTAGCAGAGTGGAAGTCATCAGCGATGGTAGATAACCTTTTGGGACAAAATCTCCAGCATACAAACGTATTCATACCCAGTAGATAATACGGTTCTTCGAACAACCACTTTTTTTTACCATCCTTGCAAAAACTTCCAATTCAGACAGTCATCTATGAACGCGTTCGTGGTCAGTAGGTAGAAGAAAATCCACAAATAATCGAGCCATTCGTGTACTGCGCTTCAGTGCCTCCAAAACTCTGTTTTTCTCATTTGGATTCACGTCATTGTCTCCATGTGAGCTGCCAGTGTCGATACCAGGGTGTAGCCATTTAATGGTCGCAGCCAGTAGGCCTTCGTTAGGTGATTCTCGAAATTGGATTCAAACCAAACAACTGTGGTCTTCAGTTGACTAACCTAGTACTCCTAGTGTCATAACGAATCCGCTCTGCGTGGATGCCTGAATCAAGGTAGTAAAACGTCACTTGGCATGGTGGAAATGCCTGCCCCAACTGACCATAAGAGATATATGTCTTGACCCGAACAACGTGGGGCTCCACATATGGTTACAGTTCTGGTAATCATAATAGTGACTGGCATACCAATTTTCTATTATAAGGTAAGCAAACACGTTTTTATGAGGTAGGATTGCCCTTTTATAATGAATAGTGACACCAACGTAGGTTTACAGATACGGTAATTATTTCCGTGCAAACTTGTGAAATGCTGATACGTTGGAAATACGGGTAAGCTATTCATCGTACCATGTTACACAAAAACGTACATCGTGCGTTTCGATTCCTATGGTGTGGAATCTGATTCCATTTAACAAAAACGTTCTGTTGACTTTCAATCGGGATTTGATTCCACATGTGAACTACATCTATGCTGGAAAGCCGAGATGCATTGTACAGCTGTTTCATCTTTGCTTACAGTAATCAGCAGTGGATATCCCACAAAACTCCACAAACTGATCATTTACTCGGTGCTTAATTTCGGTACCGCTGGGTAATAAACAGCTGATCGGGACGAGTCGTCCTTGAATGCCAGTCCACAGTCAAGTGATCACGTTTCGACTGGCGCTTTTCGAGTGTGTTTCACAGGTGAAAGCCCAGCTAGGCTTGTGAACTTCTTTCATTTCTGAGCAGATTACTTATACTTGGCCAATGAAGCGACCTATGGAGTGAATAGGAAGGCGTAAACAGGCAAAATTCTCATACAAGTTTAAAGGTGACGTTTTATTCACCTCCCATTTGCTTCGTTTAATCTGATTTATCCGAAGTGACACAACTTTACTACGTCTGCAATAACCTATAAGGCAGCGTTTGTTCCAAAAAATTTATCACGGGAGAGATTATACCAATCTGCCGTTGCTCGATGAGCAAATGGGCTGGTTTAGGACGCTTTGCACTCCGATCTGAGGAGTTAGCCGAAAAAGTAAATTTATCTTTCGATGAGGCTCAGCATTCTTTGCTGACAAGATTCATGCTCCTCCCGATGGAGCATGAATCTCTAAAAGTACGATGGAATATTCTGTATCCAGTTGAAGGTGCTCTCTCCCATAAGCGGTTTTAACTTACTAAAATTTTCGTTTTGCAAGCTCATCCATTATTTTCAAAAGTCTGACGAAATTTTATATTAAACGGGAAGTTTCAAACTCCTAAATGGTTCAGAATTATCCAAATACCGTTTTCAGAAAAGTTTGGTAACAATCGGTAGATTTATTGCTGAGCAATGTTTCGCTATTGACACAAAAGCTTTGTCAGGCCAAGTGACGAGGTTGCGAGGTTGGTCGAGGTTTAAGACGGAAGAAGAACCAATCAGCTAAGTCAAGGATATTTGTGTGTTAGGGTGGGTGACCAAGTGTTAGACCGATGGGGAAACCTACATGGATTTGGGTTCATCCCAAATTCAAGTTCTTCTGGTTCAGTTCACGCGATGATCCCTCTTGAACGTCGTTTACACTTTCCGTCCGTTTGTGCAGATGAATTAGTGCTACGGTAGTTGTGTAAGGAAGAGGGATTCTGTGAACTTTGTTGGGGCTGGGATTTCCACCCCGTTTTTACTAATGATTCTACGCAAATTGACAACTACACAGTCACGTGCCAACTCGTTACATCTCCATACACTCAGCAGTTCTACAACCTCGATTCTATTCTCGCTATGATGCTTCGTAAGTTCCACCACCTCGGCCGCTGCGGTGTGAATCACAATCCCCGTCTTAAAACTTCCACATTCCACAGATCGATTCTGTGTCCTGTGTCTAACGCACATACCCCCATCGTTAGTATTCCGTCAGCATTTGGTATTCTTCCGCATTTCCTGATGGTATGTTTATCCTCCACTTATGCTCACCAATTCTGATGTGATGTTCCTTGGCAGTTTGCCCTAAGTAAACCTTAGTGCAATCCTTGCAGTTTATTTTATATATAATGTTGTCCAGATATTGATTAATTGCTAACCGTATAGGCCGTTTAGCGGTAACGACTTCAGCCCGCCGTCTAAATTATCCAATGAACGATTAGCTGACGAAATCCTTCGTCAGGTGATATTTCGCAACTAACTAACAGTGCTAGGTAGCCCAAGTCGAACGTCAACGATTAATCTATCTCTAGATACTGCCGTCCCGTCATTTCACAACAGTCTGTACTGTCTGGAATCGCAGTGACTGTACTATCAGAAGTGGCTAAAGGGAGTCTTTTTCTCGCTTAAATCGTCCAGCGCCGCGCTAGTATTATTCTTAAATTGTTATGCACGTACCGAACAAGGACTATAGACTGTTCGGCGCATATTAAACTAATTCTGAATTCTTTACGGATACCACCAAGGAAAGCAAAGCTAACAGCTTGCTTTTCGGTAAATAGGGACTTCAGAGACGAATTATCCAATAGACTACCTTGCAAAAAACGTAGATTCCTCAGTCTCAGCGAACGCACTCGTCGATACGCGCTGTTTGCGTTAATGGAACTAGATGAACAACTGCGAGGATCTGTCCAGAGGAGTACCTCGATGTATCACACAAAACGTTTTTTGCTGGAAAACACTGGGACTCAAATAATGGTTGTGCTCGGTGTGAAAAGAGATTAGATAACCTCACAGCCAATAACCTACTGCGTTCTGCTACCATATTTCCTAGCTTGATTTACGCCAAGGATCCACCGGTTGATGAACCACCTGTCCGATAGTTTATCGAACAGATATACACCATGAGCTATCAGTACTCTCTTCACTAAATTTTCGTACCAAACGTCTATGCTGAATGAGGAAGTTCAAAGGATGCAAACTTTGCCCTCTCAATAAGATCCAAGCAAGTAACAAAACATTCAGCTGTTTGCTAGTGCGTCAACTCTAGAATGAAATAATCTGAAAATGGACCCGAAGTGTACCTATCACGACATCGGTATTCACCCAAACCTCTAAACAGGGGATGTGTCGGTGCGCAATAAATGCGTAATTTTAAAATCGTGGGATGCTTGTCGTGAAATGGGTACCGATTACATCTCATTGCAACAAGGAACAAAGTATGAAATTTCTGAAAAAAATAAGTCATGTTGGTTTTCGGAGAAGTTTTTTGAATAATCGGTAAATTTATTGTTGGGTAATGTTTCGCTTTTGACACAAAGGCTACAAAGTTGGTGGAGATTTCAGGCGGAAGCAGAACCAACCAGATAAGTCAGGTTAAACCGTTGTTGGGTTACTGCGAAAGAATATTGTCTTTTAGGGTTGGTCAACAAGTGTTAAGATGTATGGGGAACCTACACTTTTTTGGGTCCAGCTTAGAGTCTTGTTCTCCCGATTCGCTTCTCGTCATTCACACTTCTTATCCATCTGCGTGGATTGGCCAGTGCCACAAAATTTGTGTAAGAGACAGCGAATCTGTGAGCTTTGGTCGGGTTGGGATTTCTACTCCCTTTATTTCTAATTATTCTGCGTTCATCCATATCTACATACCGTCACGTGTCAACCCGTCTTATCTGAGTACGTGATCTATACATTCGCCAATTCCACGTCCCCGATACTATTCACACTATGACACTTGGCCATCCCCACCCCTCGGTCATCAGCCGCTTTAATGTGAATCACAATCCCCGTTTGAAGACTTCTACATTCTCCATATCTGTTCTGTCCTGCATCTAACGCATGTCCCACCATCACCGAGTCTTTGGCGGGAGTTTGGTATTCGTCCACATTATTTGGTGGTTTGTCTATCCTTCCCTCATGCTCCCCAGTTCCGGTGTTTACCGGAATTCTAGGCGACTAATCTTCAGCATATAGGGCAAACCAATAAGTCGATCTGACCACATGTCTTTTGTGTACACTAGATCAATTGATCAGCGTTATGGTAGACAGAATGCCGGTCTATAATTCCAGCTATCGCCAACAGCTCATAAAAAGAATCAAATAATTTGTAGATTAGCACTGTGTGCAGTCGATATTTTTTACTAGTAATCTTCCCGAAAATTACATTTAAGCGTGATCTGATATGCAATAGAATATTCCCACCTTGGACCAACACTGAAAAAGAGTTATGCTAAAGGTATGAGCGGCCCCACAAACTCAATTGGTGTTAACGAGAGGCCAGAAAGAACCTCTCGATTATGACATTATTTATTTGAGTGTGCCGCACGACAGTTTCTCCGTGTTTAATTTGGTATAGTATTCAGTCACACAGTGACGTGACACTACTACAGTTTATGATAAGTTAACCAGAATCCACGACCGGTTTCGTCCTTCTTAGGGCCCATCAGATGGACATTATCTCCAAGATGAGCGAGGGTGGTAGTATGCTGTCGAAGAAATCGAGAAATACACTCATTTGCAAATCAATTTGGTTTTCACGAGAGACAACTGAATCTCCAGTTTATGATATTCTACAGCTTAAAGTGCTGCACACAGGCCGCCTCATGATTCAGTTGGCAGGGTATTCGAGATATCGCAGTATATTTTCATAAAAAACTACTCACAAGGTTGCTGAAATCTCTTCGACAGCCCAGACCGGTTTCGCCCTTCTTGGGACTCAAGTAGATCATAAGGTTGACGGAAACTCGGGGAATGCGACTACCTGATGAGCCCCAAGAAGGGCGAAACCGGTAGTGGGCTGTCGAGGAGTTTTCAGCAACCTTGTGATTAGTTTCCTTTATGAAACCTCCCAGCAATCTTTTTATAAGTGTATTACGTAAATTTTTAGGTCTTCCAATGAAGCGAATGAAAGATACAGGCCGTGATATACGAAGTTCTTCTATCCCAAAAAGCCCTGCATTCAATAGGTGTCCATTGCCCACAGTGCACATGTTTTCGGCGAGTCCCCAGTCGGACTTACATCCTACAAGAAGAAGTATGAAATGCCGATGGTTCTTGACCCATTTACTTTTAGGTTTTACCATTCGCAAGCTCAGACGACGTTGAACTGGTAAAACGCTGACAGGCAACTAGATTAGGAATGATCCGACGAAACTTTTCATGTAATTCTTGCATCTAGGAAATGTCTACAATTCGCAGGACTTCTGTTTGATTTCGTCAAACCCAGTCTGACTTCGTTCACTAGTATAACTGTACATACATGCGGAGTCGTTATGGCTGAAAGGGTTGCATGTTCTTTAGGTTATGGGTCTACCGAACATTTCAGACGGCCTGTGGAAGGTTCGCTTCCAAAGACATTTGAAATGTGTGAAACTTTGACACTGTGAAACCAGGACACATCTATATCCACCGGAACCAACACTAAATTGACCACTGCCGAAGCGTGGATAACGACCACCGCGCATTAGCGATGGTGATTTGGGAGATCCAGGAAACCGGTTTTTACTCGCAAAAGAGATGGCAGAAGCACAGTAGGCTATGAACCCCCGAATAGCTCGTTTTATTGATTGCCATAGGTTGCTATTAATTGGTATCGTGTAGTGGAGAAAATTGTATAAATCCACTGGAAAAATAGGTTATGGTAAACTTGCTGAAATTTCATGTGTTTCACGCTGGAGTATTTCCTGTTTCTTTTCGTGAGTCGACCGACTTCGCATTATCCTTGGGCCAGACGTCGCTTTTCGTGCTTCTGTGTTACGATTCGTTTCCCTCCTTTGCAGTTATAACCGACCAAAAAAGAGATCTTCGCTTGCTTTTCCGTACTATGAAATAAAATAAATAAATAAATCATTCAGCTGTAGCACCCTTTCAGTGCCTAACTGCCACGCAATCCGAAGGTTCCACGAGGGCTGTAATACTGCCGGGTCGCGCAAGCCTAGACAGGGGAAGTCGAGAGGCAGAATTCGGGTTCGATCCACGGACTTTACGGTCAGTAAATTCGCGCTCTAGCCACTTGGACTACCTCGTCCCCGCCTTTTCGTACTACTAAATTATCGAAACAAAATTCTGATGAACCCATCGCATAGTCTTTCCCCGTTGCTGTCTTAAGAGCCCTCTATCTATTTGGCACTATAGAGGTGATTTTATTTCAGTGGACAAAGCTGGTCTTGCAGCCAGTTTCTGATGTGTCACATCGATGGACCCCGTCGCACAACAGGATATTAAGCATCCTGAACCCGAAGGAATAGAACTGGATGGTGACTGGGAAGGGAAGTCTCTGAAGCCATCAGCATACTCAAGTGGTGGCACTTTTCAATTGCACGACGGTTGAAAACTATCCTGACTTCAGAACAGACGAGACAATAAAACATTGGCTCAGAAACCACCATATATGATGGATGATAATTTCAGCAGCCTATATCGGTTTTCGTTTTTTGAGTCCTTCGGTTACACTATTCCATGATACACTTAAGATGCCGAGTAGAATCAAGCGATATAATACTGCAAGGGAGAGAAATAGAGGGCGGTTTCTTCATTTGTGTGCCGAAGGAAATCACCTCTATTCTAGTTCAAACAAGTTTGAACAATTGTAGGGTCTACTGGAAGTTAGAGTAGTAACCGGTGTGGAGGTAAAGAACAAATGGCAGAAACATACAGCCTTTGAATGGAACCAAAGAATTTCGGAACAGATTTTCGTAGAAAAACGCCCATTCACAAATTATTAAGGCAGTAACAGCATACTCTTAGGTTTTTTGTTAATACTGCTCTTCTCTAGGGGAATGAATTCGAGATGCTCCAGTGGCCAGGTCATGAACTTACGCCCGGGAGGTTCACTGTGCCTACCCAGTCTCAACATGTTGACTCTTCCTGTCTAGGCTCAAGCTACCTGCAGTATCTCAGTCCTCGTTATTTCTTAAAATGGCATGACAGCTAGTCGCCGCAAGGGTGTTACAAGGGTCAACGACCGGTAGTTGCTGAACACTCTAATACAACTCACAACTGGTTTCGCCCTCCTTGGGGATGATCAGGTAGGCGAAGTCCCCGAGGCAGCCCGTCCGCAGCGTGGTACATTGGCCTACAGAGGCTGTCGGTGTGAAATGGGATTCGGAAGGGATGAGGGTTGTGTTGAAAGTGGTTTTAAGCTCAGCCCGGAGCAGCTGTACGAATTTTTTTACACCAGTTGGCTAGAATGAGTGTCCCAGGCGATCTTGAACTGTGGGCTGACTGGAATCTCATTGCTGGCTATTTCTCCGAGCCACATTGCGAACCTCCGTTTCCGGTTTCTATCCAACGAAGTCATCCTCCGGCTCACCATAAGAAACACTCCAAACTGTGCACGACTACGTTTACCCAGCTGATCTACCGGGCACAAAATTGATGTTTGTTTACTTTAATTCATTCTCAAGTTGTTTAATACTCTTGGTGACATAGAAACAACTGAATTCCATGCCGTTTTTGAATGCTGAAAATTTGGAACTCATCGAAACGGATGAATGGCCGTGTCACTCCAACTGGACTGCAGTTTGCGTCCTCAGAAGTGAATAAATTTGACTGGCAGATTGTGATTGGAACTCAACTAGTACGAACAATCATCATCATCATCGACCGCACGACATCAGTGTTCAGCACCGATGCTTCACTGCCATAATACGAACCAAACGTTATTGGGCGTTCCAACCTTATTGGCTCACCAAACTGATTGTGGTTTAGTAGCGGTGGAAATTCACATTTAGGCAACAGACGATTCAGGGAAGTCTACAAACTGCATCAACATTTGGAGAAGGTGGGAAAAGAAAGCTCTCAGGTATCCCACCCAACTCACTGGAGAAAACGGATGTGATTTGTCTGTCGTGAGTTCTTTGCAGCAGTACGGTTTGTTTGTCCCCCTGTGAACAGAACCTCCCCCTCTCCCATTTTGTGGTTGCAAAAAAATCACTCCCATAGTACTCTTTCACTCAGGGAGCTATCTGGTCCACGTGAAATATTGGTAACGTGGGAAAACAGACAGGGGAAGAACGGTCGTGTTCGAATTCTAATAAACCAGATGGGTGAGGATCGAAGTCAAACCTAATTAAAACAGGATATCGTAAAAACATAAGGCTTCCTGATCTTGCCTCTGTTCACAGCAGCAGTACAGCCCGAGAACTTATGACTACAATAAGACCCAATATTCTTCTGGACCTTTAATCTTCGGTCATTTGGATCAGAGCTTTATCAGTACGCTCAACAGTTATAACGTTGCAAGTCTTTCCATTTTTCACAACTGACAGTTTTCTCGCCAAAAAATATCTCATCGAACGAAGAAGACAAATTAATTTCGATCTGTCGCACGGAATTCTGAGGATCCACCCGGCATGGGTCAAGCCAAAACAAAGCGGTAGATCTCAAATTCGTAAAAAATGTGAGCATTAGGATTAAAACGTTTCGAGTAGGAAGAATTTCTCGTAACAACCGTGCCTAGAACATGAACACGATGCTTTAGCTACCCAAGAAACCGATCAACAGTAAACTTGGTCAAAATAACACCGGATCTAGCTTGTTCTGTCCAAACCCAACTCAAACTGGTTGAGATATCTATGCGCGGTGGTGAGTGAAGCTACCTCAAATAAAGCAACCGTTTGATTATTGATTAGGCATTTCAACACCGGGATAGCAGAAGCTGTAAAATTCAGCTACCAAGTGAAACAGGAACATATTCTCAGTATTACTGATTTTTTATTGTTTTGCGTGCAAATATGGCAAAAACTATGCCATGCTTTTGAGCATAAGCCAGCACCGGCGGGCCGATTTCTTTACTCTTCTTCATGAATTACAGAGGAATAACTACTATTTTGGCAGAGATGGCCCAAGTGGTTAGAGCGCGAATTTACTGACCGGAAGGTCCGTGGTTCGAATGGGACCTCCACCACTCGACTTCCCCTATCCAGGCTTGGGCAACCTGGCAGTATCCCAGCCCTCGTGCTTCTTTCGGATGGCATGGCAGCAAGGTACCGGAAGTGCGCTACAGCTGAACGGTTCTTCACTGAGAAATTTCACCATACTAAATAATGTCTAGCTAAAATACTCCGCCGAATTGGACAGAATAGCAAATCTTCGCGTTGTGGAAGCAGTTGTAATGTAAACCATCTTATGAAAATGAAGCGACACAGCGCAAGAATGTAACAGCTGACTGTTCGCTAGAACGAGCGCCTCGTATCTCAGGAAGAGATGAAGAAGTTCACTTCGGCAGCATCATATCGTTCCCGGAATTTCAATGTTTGAAGGTAGATGTCTCACGGGTATATGGAACCATGTCAGCAGAACCGTCATATCAGATATAGTTAACTCATAAGTTTATATCAGCCCTTCAACGTTCTAGACTTCTGCTCGTTGTGGCACTCGATACCATAGAACAAGCAATTGTTGGCTCCTTACTGTGTCATTTAGCAAGTAACTCAAAAAAGACTGTTTATCATGCACAGGTTAAATTGCTTTTCTGTTCGATTTCCACAGCTGCAGTCCCGATGTTTCATCCTGAATGTTTCCTGAGCATCTCCTTGTGAGTGTGGAGCGTGCTTAAAATTTCTAGGCATGAAATCAATGAACCTGTCCGAAATGCTAAAGACGATTGCTGTATCGTCCTGCTCTGAAAATTGTTTATGTGGTCAGCTCTTCGCGTCCGTGCGATTCAAGTAACAAATGACGTGAACAGAAGTGAAGCTAGATGCAAGCAAAAGATTTCGTATGACAATTCTAAACGACACGAAAAGCGATGCATGTCTTTCCTACAAACCTCCTCAGATAACATTTTTGGCGCAGGCCCAACTTCAAGTGCCGTGTGTAATGCATTGGTCAAGAACTTCGTAATCGGGGTCCCGTCTTAACAAGGCTATTTCTGTTCAAAGCTTGGAGTGGAAAGGGACTAAGTGTACGAGATCTGAATTCTAACATTCAACTCGATTGTGTTAAAGAAGTTGCGATCGAGTTCGTTATCAGAGATGTTTCCCATTCATTCCTGAATTGTTTTGATTTATCCCAACCACCATATTTCCGGGCGTTCTGTACCAAATTCCGACTGGCCATACAGTTTGTCGGACCACAGTAGTCACACGTCTACGAGGCGTAGGCCTACATATATGCTACCAGAATGGAATCTTCCTCTGCTGCAGTCCTTGCTTCTGTAGCCTTACCGGGAATCCACTTCCGACATTCAGTAGAACTTCAAATACCTTCTGGTCAACAAGCACGAAGATGCCTTTGAGTACAAAAGTTCATCTACCGACACGAAACAACCTCGCTGAAGAAAATTCCTTGGGCGAACCTGGGTTTTTCACCGTAAGATATCTTCCAAAATTGAAACACTTTCCAGGACAACACAGGACACCTCCCACATGGAGGTATGTAAGGGGGGGCACAGGGACTACCCAGGGTAGTCAAATCCTTTGATGACACCTGGCCGCAATTCTCGTGCACCTTCTGCAACACATCTCGAAAGTTACGCAGACAGGGTGATCGACACTGCTGATAATAAAATAGTGTTTTCATAAAGGAAACTACTCATAAGGTTGCTGAAAACTCTTCGACAGCCCACGACTTGTTTCGCCCTTCTTGAGGCTCATCAGATAGGCGCAGTCCCCGAGTTTCCGCCAATCTTATGTTCTACTTGAACCCAAATTGAACTGTTTTTGAGAAATACACTCATTTCAAATCAGTTTGTATTTCACGAGAGACTCAACTGAATCTCTCGTTTATGATATTCAGTTGAGTGTCTCGTGGAAACCAAATTGATTTGCAAATGAGTGTATTTCTCGAAAATACAGTGTTATTCAGATAATTCGCTTAATGACGTCAGGGTTTTGTTGGCGTTGATTCGGTTGTAAATAAATCACGATGAAATCAAGATAAATGTTACGTTTTTCTCTCTAGGGGGCAAAATGAAAACTGTTCAAATGTCGGGCTACCGCCGAACCAAGTAGAGAACGTTCGGGATACAACAAGCTTATACCAACAAACAAGACGTACTACCAACTGTAGCCTCTTCGAGGCATACCCCAATAACTGTTGATTTCGAGAAAGTTGCTGTTAATCCCTAAAGCTTAAAAGGTAACTGAAATGGACGTCCAAAACCGATCACTGTCTTATTCTACAGTGCCATTACGAGATGGATGGGTTTAGCCCGCACCATGATTCCAACGACAAAGACTTGTATTAAAGGAGGAACCTACCTAATCGTGCTCACACACGAGCTTTAACTTTACTGACTAAAAAGACAATGAGCTTTAACTTTACCGACTAAAAAGACAATGATGGCCTAAACTGGAAGAGTTGTCAAGGTGTAGACAGCCCAGGTTCGTTTCTCTATCTAGAATTCGAACTGCGTACTCCGTCAGGTATGAACTGGGAACAAAACACCCTACTCTAAATTAATTTAGACTACAGAAGGTAAGACAACTGACCAATTTTCAGCACTTGGTGCATCAGTGGATTTGTGTGCCATACTACCACAGATTCTTTGCGCGACACCGCTGATAACTCAAACGGAAAGATCAGATTTCTTCAAAGACCGAAAACATTCTTCGATGGTAATTCAGTCATCGCAAGAACTAATGATTTTTGTGATAACCCGAAACAACAAACCGCCCTCCGCAGAAGAGACTCCTCATCATCGTTGGCAGCAACAAGAGGACACTAGTACTTCACCGCCGTGCAATAATGTGGTTGTGCAACTCGTAGTGGTACGTGGGCTGCAATGTTGCCAGAGCGCCTAGGCCGGGATAGGAGGATGATTAGGATCATCAACCAAAGCCTTTAGCTCAAAACTTACCACAAGGCAGCGATGTTTGGAGTGAGACCACCAGAGCAATCGAAAGTTTTGAGAAAAAGTTGTATCATATGTTGCAACCACCAAGCTAAAGGACCAGGAGGCTACGTTAGGCAGATCTCTACCCCTTAACCAACATAGTATGAGGGGCTTCGTAAGCATCACGCGTATACTCCATACGTTGGAGGCACACGAGCGGTCACGCCACGGTAAGTGATGGCGTGATGGAAGAGACTACGTGAACCTTCTGTACATCTGAGATAAACTATGTGTGCAAGGCCTCTCATTTGGGGGGGGGCACAGGGACTACCCAGGGTAGTCAAATCCTTTGATGACACCTGGCCGCAATTCTCGTGCACCTTCTGCAACACATCTCGAAAGTTACGCAGACAGGGTGATCGACACTGCTGATAATAAAATAGTGTTTTCATAAAGGAAACTACTCATAAGGTTGCTGAAAACTCTTCGACAGCCCACGACTTGTTTCGCCCTTCTTGAGGCTCATCAGATAGGCGCAGTCCCCGAGTTTCCGCCAATCTTATGTTCTACTTGAACCCAAATTGAACTGTTTTTGAGAAATACACTCATTTCAAATCAGTTTGTATTTCACGAGAGACTCAACTGAATCTCTCGTTTATGATATTCAGTTGAGTGTCTCGTGGAAACCAAATTGATTTGCAAATGAGTGTATTTCTCGAAAATACAGTGTTATTCAGATAATTCGCTTAATGACGTCAGGGTTTTGTTGGCGTTGATTCGGTTGTAAATAAATCACGATGAAATCAAGATAAATGTTACGTTTTTCTCTCTAGGGGGCAAAATGAAAACTGTTCAAATGTCGGGCTACCGCTGAACCAACTAGAGAACGTTCGGGATACAACAAGCTTATACCAACAAACAAGACGTACTACCAACTGTAGCCTCTTCGAGGCATACCCCAATAACTGTTGATTTCGAGAAAGTTGCTGTTAATCCCTAAAGCGATACAACAAGCTTATACCAACAAACAAGAAGTACTACCAACTGTAGTCTCTTCGAGGCATACCCCAATAACTGTCGATTTCGAGGAAGTTGCTGTTAATCCCTAAAGATTAAAAGGTAACTGAAATGGACGTCCAAAACCGATCACTGTCTTATTCTACAGTGCCATTACGAGATGGATGGGTTTAGCCCGCACCATGATTCCAACGACAAAGACTTGTATTAAAGGAGGAACCTACCTAATCGTGCTCACACACGAGCTTTAACTTTACTGACTAAAAAGACAATGAGCTTTAACTTTACCGACTAAAAAGACAATGATGGCCTAAACTGGAAGAGTTGTCAAGGTGTAGACAGCCCAGGTTCGTTTCTCTATCTAGAATTCGAACTGCGTACTCCGTCAGGTATGAACTGGGAACAAAACACCCTACTCTAAATTAATTTAGACTACAGAAGGTAAGACAACTGACCAATTTTCAGCACTTGGTGCATCAGTGGATTTGTGTGCCATACTACCACAGATTCTTTGCGCGACACCGCTGATAACTCAAACGGAAAGATCAGATTTCTTCAAAGACCGAAAACATTCTTCGATGGTAATTCAGTCATCGCAAGAACTAATGATTTTTGTGATAACCCGAAACAACAAACCGCCCTCCGCAGAAGAGACTCCTCATCATCGTTGGCAGCAACAAGAGGACACTAGTACTTCACCGCCGTGCAATAATGTGGTTGTGCAACTCGTAGTGGTACGTGGGCTGCAATGTTGCCAGAGCGCCTAGGCCGGGATAGGAGGATGATTAGGATCATCAACCAAAGCCTTTAGCTCAAAACTTACCACAAGGCAGCGATGTTTGGAGTGAGACCACCAGAGCAATCGAAAGTTTTGAGAAAAAGTTGTATCATATGTTGCAACCAGCAAGCTAAAGGACCAGGAGGCTACGTTAGGCAGATCTCTACCCCTTAACCAACATAGTATGAGGGGCTTCGTAAGCATCACGCGTATACTCCATACGTTGGAGGCACACGAGCGGTCACGCCACGGTAAGCGATGGCGTGATGGAAGAGACTACGTGAACCTTCTGTACATCTGAGATAAACTATGTGTGCAAGGCCTCTCATTTGGCATACTAACGCCTTTATATGTGTTCATCTAAGGACTTCCATCTAAGGACTGCCGGCACCGTCTGAGTGACGTCCAACAGTTTTCCTGAGCAGCGGCTTTTCATTCGGGTACCCCAAGTAGAAAAATGGGACTCATACTGACCAGTGTTGCGTTAATTTGCATAGCAGGGCTACATATTCCGAACGTTATCAACATATGATTGGAAAAATCTCTAATTTTTCCCCCATCCACCTCGCCCTACATCTAAAAATCTGAAAACAGGCAAATCCATGTATATTATCAGGCAAATTATAAAAAGCAAATATTTACAGTAGCATTACGTTGTTCTTTAGACACTCCTGGCGCACATGCTCCGGCCATATACTGCATTGCACCTCACCGACGTGCTGCTTCTCCAAAAAGAACATACATATACGGCTTTGACCAATTCCACCCCCAATCGTTAAAGGATATTCACCATTCAGGACCTTCTGGTGGTATTCAAACTGTTTTCTGGATTCACAACCGCTTTCCCGCAACTGTTTTTCCATCGAGACCTCGTCGACTCGAATACCCATTGAAGACAATTCTATACACCTATCGGCATTGGCGTCGTAAAATAAGATGTCCCCATTTAGCTCCCAGTCATCATAATCTGGGGCACGGCTGTCGTGTATTTCACCAGATTTCAATCGTTTCCCAATTTGTTTGAGGAAGACTGCACCATATTTCTTCACGGCCTGATATTCACGCTCACTGGGTTTCAAATCTGGATACTGATCTTCCAGTTCTTGTGTTCTGATAAACGTTATCTTCTCTGGAAGTTTTTTGGAAAAGATCGGATACTTCGCTAGTACCGCTGCTTCTGTTTGCTTGAATGCTGTGTAGATTTTCTCAACCACCTCTTCAAGTTTCCTCTCCGTTCGCTCATCCCGTTCAATAACCATTTCCCAATCCCACTGATCCACGTAGTAGGAATGTAGAGGTGATATTATTTCATCACGCCGGATTGCATTCATATCTGTGTACAGGCCCTTATAACGCTTCAGTTGGTACTTTCCTAGTGCCATTCGTTTCCATTTCGCTAGAGACTGGTTGATTACCGCCTCTTCGCCAGATCGAACGTCGAAATAGATGGCCCGTTCGACGCCACTCAAATCATCTTGTAGACCAAGACGGTTTGGAACAAACAATGGAGCAGAGACGCGTAGAAGATTAAGATTTGTCGCAAGGGCTTGCTGAAACTGATCTTTGATGTATTTAATGCCCTCTTCAGTCTCCTCAACATCCAACTTTGACTGGTACCGCCGCATTTCGGTTTGCTGAAATGGGAGGTGAAACTAACTGAGTGAAAAAACACTGTGCCGCAAGAACCATGAGAGACATCGAAAGCAAACGAGCTAACTCCGAGATTATTGAAATAATCCAAGGGTGCTTCCTAACTTTTGCCTAAACCCTAGTGCCGATTCAGGTCCTGAATTTAAGATTTACCTCGCATACAGAATAATTCGTTATTTATTTTAGGCCATGTAGAAAGTAGCCTGAACACGTAAACTTCTAATAAGAGTGCTTTGCTTGGTTGTGTATGATCTGCCAGCAAGCCATGATGACGAGGGCTAAAAGGGAGGGAGCTGGAAGTTTGCGCAGTATGTTGACCTGACCACAAATAGTTATAGCCACAGATATCTGTAACTGACGATTAGGCTTTTGTTGACACGATACAATAAACTGCAGAAGACCGTCAAGCTCACCTCCAAATTTAATGCACACATGACAACAGGTGTTGAGTGAATAATCGGTAAAAATCAGGAGTCACCTTTATGATAACAGCTGCTTGTGTGTTAGCATCTTCTGAAGCCATACAGTTGGTTTGAATTGTTCCGCGCTATAGGGGATGGGTAGCACTGATAATCAGTATATTGTTACGCAAAATCCCTTACACAATTCAAGGCAAATAATCACACGGTCATGTAGAAAAGATTGTGCGATGAACGATCATGCTATAACTACCACATCCACCACAGCTCAAATGATGCTGTGAGTCTCATTGTCTCCATGAGACTGGATAGCAATGCGCCCTGAAAGTCTCACCACAAGATACTCTGAAACACGCTGAGAAAAACTCACATAAATATACTGAGATGAAGTAATGTGATCTGATCAGTATGCCTTCTGTGTAGGAGATAGTCACGTCTACAAGAAATTCTGACCATTTGTTTTCTTAAATGATTCAGTAGTAGACCAGATGCTATTGCATTGCATCCGTCGACTCCAGGCACTGAGGATTAGTCCGCGGAACGCTGAAACTAGAAGCTATGCGAGACTTTTACATGCAGTACTACGCACAGCATTGTCGTACTGTCTCAGGTTATCCAAACTACGTTCTATCACCTTCACTGTAGCTAGAGTGAGAGAATTACACCCATGAGTGCGTCCATAATTTTCCGCTTTTCGTTGGTTTCGTACGACTGCTTGTGTATACGCCGTTGCTGATGGCAGATGATGACGGCAGCCGAACAAGTTTATTCGTGCCAGTACTATTAGCAGTACCTGGTCAATGGGACGCGCCCTATTGATTAAACGTGTCTCCTAACTTATAGGCTATAAACTCTGAATCTACACAAGTAGTGTACTGCACCCCTGGCCAACAAGATTCAAAAATCAATATGAATGGTCCAAGTAGATAGTGTAAATTACTTCCCATATGCCACAGGACCCTGGTCAAGGAGTTCATTTCAAAGGTTGCCCACGCTTGTTATGCAAGTGTTGACTGCAATATAAGACGTGCTGAAGAACGTCATTACCAGGTCTCGGTAAGCAGAAAGTAAGAAAGATGGACAAATCCTGTCCTTCCTTATCAAGAGGATCAAAATTTGAGTCACTAAGAACAGCAGTCTTACATGCTGGTGGAACAAACTTTCCGTCATTCAGGCATAATGAACACCAAGTGTGAGTAACTAACTCGAAGGCTTGAAATGGCAAATTGTACTGGGCTTTATCAGGTGCACTAGAAACCAAAAAAGGAGGCGATCTGAGTACCACAGAGCAGAACGGACCAGAAAACAGCACAAATTATAAGAGTAATCCGCGTCACCAAGAAACATCCTGTTATCACTCCCCCAACATATGAAAACCCTTTGCGGTGGACTACATGTTACCAAGACTCGGACATGAATGTAACCAAAGCGAGATGGATGACTATTGCGCGAATAAGAAAACCAGGAAAGGATTTCTGCAAATTACCCCAACTTGAAAGTTAACCTCACTGAAGCTTTACTCCATTAAGTACCGAAGATTATGAAACCACTTTATTCTCACGCGAATTTATACCATTCTTAAGGACAGCTGAAAACACTCCCAAGAAGCACAAAAGATATCGCATTTACATTGCAACGGAAATTTCAATGCAGAACTTTGAAAATCGTGCACAGAACTGGACCCAGAAACTAATTAGAACGATACAAATGCCCAACGTGATTTGACTGGAATAGCATTTCTAAGATTAATTCAGTAGTAATTTATATCTACTACAGTTAAGGATTTAGGTCGATAGGGTCGAATCTTGTCATGCTTCTGCCGATAGCAAACGTTGCAAGGAAATTAGAATAGCAAGTAGTACCACCAAACCGACTGACGAGGAAAAAATTTAAATACAACAACGAAATGAATCAAACAACGGTATACTCCATTAACAAGATTTTACTGACACCCTAGCTGGACGTGTCTTTATCTGTCTATATCAATTGTTATTATGTACTCAGCAAAACCATTTTACAAAGATTGGCTAACATTTTGCTAAGTCGTATTTCCTTCAAAATGTGGATCAGAAAATGTATCAACTGGGTTAAAATATCTACCGTAATTCTCCCTTCAAACTCCATTCAAACGGGCACTACCAAAAGAAACCTCCCGCACAAACCCCTATTATATAAGTAATGAAAACTAAGGCTGTATAACTTCGGCAAAATGTTACAATCCCTCAGTACCTTGACTCCTATTCAGGTCAACTTGCGATCGCGAATTTTGAAAAGAAGTTGGGCCAAGGAATCGCGCCGTTAGCAGGCAGCTAATAAAACCGCACTTGCAGCATCTCAGTAGGTTAGTGTCTCAAGGAAAGAACTGAGAAGTTTCGGCAAGTCACTTGTCGAAACCGGAATAGGTAGCCTGCGCGTACAGCTCCAGATGCAGGAATATGGCTGGTTATTCTACTCCTGTGCTTCTGTCCTATTTTGTCCCCTCCCCATCTCGTCAGCTTTATAGATAAAATGCATGGAATAAGTAGTGCAAGTTTAAAGTCTGTGCTAATCTGTGGTATATGAGACCAAACCCATCGCGGAACCACGAAATTACTGAGCGAGTTGGCAAATCGATCATGAAAGCGTTTCAAAACCAGCAACTTTTTCGGTAATTCAGAAGCCCTGTGACCCCATTCCTGCCTCCGCCATCTTCACAATCCATAAAAACAATCTGGCAGCATGTCTGTATACTACTTCAGATGTCTTCCGTTTATATATTCCAACTACATCGGATATTTCGTTGCCGCAAACCCATTCTTGCGGCTTCAGACATCAACACTAACACGCTTCACATGAAGGCATGAACTGCACATCTTGATGGACTGCTTCGAAATGCCGCTCATGCTGGATGCGAGATGGACCAAGTGGTTAGGGCGCGAATTTACTGACCGGAAGGTCCGTGGTTCGAACCCGACCTCTGCCTCTCGACTGCCCCTGTCTAGGCTTGGGCAACCTGGCAGTATCCCACCCCTCATGCTTCCTTTGGATGGAATGGCAGCTAGGCACTGAAAAGGTGCTACAGCTGAACGATTTTTTTTATTTTATGCAGTCTGTAGTCGTGTTGAACCGGTATTTATTTTTTTCCAAGAAACGAACTAACTCTCCAAAAACTCTGTAACAACACCTACCAGTGAGCTGTGCAGCAAATTTATAACTCTGGTGACTGTAGATGTAGCGTACACCGTACACACATTCTTTAGCTTGGCTGGATGCTGTCTGACGTACCGCTGCTGTAGAACTTGAAAACGATCACAAGGCCGCAATGATGGAGACATGCCATTCGGGACTCAATAAGAAAGTGTAGTCTTGAGGAGGGCCGTAGACCAAGGTAAACTTGTTCTGTTCAACGCTGAATATGCGAAGTCGCTTAGTTATAGAATCGACCGAGCGGCGAAACTTCTGGCAGATGGTATTTTCTGCCTCGTTAAGGAGAGGGCGGACAGGCATCCCATACTCCAGAATCGGTTCAAAAAGCAGTGGAGTCTCGGGAAGGCTCAACATTCTGTGATGCTAAAGTTCGTCTGATCACCCACAGCATTCGATGTCCTGTTGCTACTGTGAGGTATCTGGTTCGAAATTGAATCAGAATGAAGTGTCCAGGATAATAGTGTACGTGCTAAATTGTCGTCTATATCCCAACCTAAAGCTGCCCTGCCACCTTGACGTGGTGGTCGGGCTTCAGTGCTGCAATGATCCCGTGGGCTACACTGGCTGGAACTTCGTCCCACAAGGTGCAACCATGCCAGGAAGGCCAAAGGGGAGCAGCCAGACCAGGAGCAGCGAGACCCCGAACTACGAGTAATCGTGCTACGAGGCGGTCTGGGGGTAAAGTCGTACTGTCCTCTGTGACAGGAGTGTGAAGGCAGTAAGGTGTTTCCCCCAGGCGACCAGCATGTCCATATTTATGGAAGCAGC